AAAACCCAGTGTATGGGTGATGTCCTGTTGGGTTAAGTTTAGCACAGGCATGCTACACTCGCTGTCTTCAGAAACTACCTCCTCACTGGACTGAATATTTAGGCATATTCTCACTCTCCCCTTGTATGGTACAGGGACCCTTGGCACTTGTCATCCAAGGACACTCTGCAACAAAGTATTAGAAATAGAGCCTAAACTGGATTAAGCTTTTATGCTCTGAATATACATATTAACAAAACAACTTTTTTCCCTAAAGTGCATGAAGAAAATGCAGCAGCATTAAGCAAACCACAGATTATTTAAAAATATTGACAAAATGCACGTAAATTAGCATTTGGACTCTGTATGGGGAGGGGAAGGGCAAACGAAGTTTCAGTTATGAAACTGGTGACTGGTGAACAAGGAAAACTGCGATTTAACTTGCCTAACCCATAGTTCCTCTGTGGGGAAACTCCACACCATCTCTGTAGATTAGTGTGAATCATGCTACTTCTCCCACACAAATTATGTCCCACATTATTTTCCCCAGGGACATTATCTAAATGTATTACATTTGCAAGCAAATTGGTGAAAACACTATGAAACTGGTAGACACATCACATTATAATTTCTTCACAGTAATAATAATAAACATTAGTGAAATATGTTCTATTGACCATTGCTAGAGTGATCTGTTTTACTAATATGGGATAATAATTATGGGAAGATGATAATATGGAAGAGCAAAAAAGAAGAAAGAACTAGAGCCAAAGCAAGCATATGCTCGACGCAATGAAATTATCATCTATAGAGCTGAGATAATCCAAAGCTTGCTGTTAAATTTCAACAGCACTGTCAGATTGACAGTTAAACTAAATCACACACACAAGACCCATATAATTACTGTGTATAAAAAAGCAGGACACTGGCCTTTGGCTCTAGCATGAACTTTTTGTTAGAGCCAGGCATGATGGTACTATCATGGATGATGCTAACAAGCACTTAGGGAAGTATTTTTTCTTGCTCTTGTTGCCTGTATCTACTGTGAGAAATACTTATTTTAATTTTCACATGATTCAGAACTGGGGGGGAAAGGAAAGGAAGGGAATTGAATTTTGTCCAAATGCATTCAATAGTTCACTTCAAATTTAAGTAAGGGTCAGTAACGAAATAGATTAGAAAAATTCTAGAGCATAATTGCAGATCAGGCTGGACCTTGGAAAAGAACAGTCTGAGTTCAAGTGCAGTTTGGAAGTCATGTCTAATACGTTTTTCTACTGTGACAAATAATCTGGCAAGTATTTTGTGGCACCCATAAAAACCTGAAGACTGAAGATAACCTATTTCCAGCTTCCGAGAACTGTTCACAACAAAAAAGCCTGAAACAGACTAAATTCTAAATTTGCTGTTGACTTCACTGACACTGAGAACAAAGAGAGCTGATCTCCAGGGGAAGAGGGCTTTACGAGTCCTTCCTCCTTCCCACCACACAGCTGCTTCTCTACCGCCGCATGGGGCAGAGGACTCACCTGGCCACCAGACGATCAAATCCTTGCATCACCATATTCCACGAAGGATGCTCTGAGGATGCATGTGGCCCAAAAATTTACAGCTGCTGTCAAGGACTCAACCACAAAGTAGTCGAACAGCAGGGGACCCATGTATTCTCTAAGGCTGTTAAGGCCAAACCGCCTTAACGAGAGCTCTCACAGGATTTATTAGAAAATTATCACCTTTTGGCTCTGACAAGTCAGACCTCTGTCAGGCTTAGTACTGGCCACCGTGGGTCAAAATGAGAGACTGAGACCACTGGGAAAATATACTTTTCCTTATTAGATTTTGGGAATTTAAATAATCACTGTGGAACCCAACTACATTTCTGCAATATTTAGTGATAGATAATTTCTGTGCCATTGAGGGTTTTTACAGCCTCCTACACAGGTGACAATAATGACCAGACACGTTGCTGTAGTTTTCCTTGCAGTTACAGAGTAAACAGATTCACTGCAGCTAATGGTAGTTACATGGTTCTTGCCACCGCTGATAAGGAATATAGAAACTTAAAATAGTTTTAACACCAGTTGTCTGTGAACTGAATCTATGTTCCTATTTATTTACTATTTACTATGCTCTGCAGCACGATTGCTTTAAAGCCCTTATGAAATTAAATACAGATTATGACCAAAAGTGAGTGAATGTTTTAATCCGACATCAGTAAATCTCCCTCTAAAAATCTTTTTGCATGGGAAGTACTTCCTAGTATGAATGATGATACAAATTGGAACCACCAGTACTAATTTTATAATAAGGGAGAGCAGCCAGCACACTCTTTGTCTATGAATGGTTATTAATTTATCTTTAAACAAGTAATGACAACAGAAGAGGAGAAAGCGATGGTGCTGAATTCTGACGGGATTCTTCCTTTATAAGGAACTCGAGTAAAGCTACTATCTTTTCAGAGAGCCTCTTTTGGTGTCAAAACCAACATCCAAGCAAATGTCACTCCAGAACGAAGATAATTATTATATTAGAGACTTGTATGGCAACAGGCATGTAGATTCTAACTACACATAAACAGTTACATACAGCTGAGGACTTGAGTTTGGCTGACAAACGATTTGCAAATATTATTCTGTTGACGCAGAGACACAAAGTTCAAGGTGGCCTCAGTTAGTAAACAAAGATGGAAAATGTACCTCACACATTTACCCCATGCCTAAAAACAAGCCATTTAGAAGAAGACATCTGGATGTTCAAAAATTAGCATGACGGTATTCAGAGCCCATCAAAACATGCAGCCATGGCTTGGCGTCTAGTAGCTAAGCAACGTACTTCATACATTCAAAACATAGTTGTAAAAGTTGGATTCTCCTGCCAATTGCTGCCACTCTCATTGAAAAGCTAAACTGGAAAAAATCTCTCTTTAGTTCAAAGTGGGGCTGTTTTCTCCGGGAAACATCTCTACTGCTTTTTCATCCTTTAACCCTTTCTGTGTTTACATTCCAAGAGGAGCAAATAGATTCATGTTGACATTTCAAGTGCAAGCATATAAAAAATCATGTGGACTCAGACATACTCCCTGCAAAGAACATCATGAACACATGTAGCAAGAAACTACAGTCTTGTTCTTATTGAGTCAAATACCGCAATGTAATGCCAAACAACATGCATGTGCACACAGCAAATGATTACAGCAGATTAAGCTACGCTGAACCACACTGAAGAGCTAATCCCATAGTTAAACGTGTTAAAATGTAAACCAAGAGAATGGAAGCCTGTGCTTTTTTCTTGCAAAGCATTTACATCCCTAAGTAACAGTGCAAGCAATATTTGCATCTTAAGAGTGGAAGGAGACCACAGGAACTGTGACATTTTGCTTAGTTTAGGTACTACTTACATCCAAAAGAAGTAACTCTACGCACGGGAGATGCATTGCTCAGGGGTCTTTGAAAGTGGATTACTGATTAGCAGCACACTCTCATTCTGGCAGGAGGGCATCCATGCAAAGAATTACAGATAAGCATCTGTAAAGCAAGTGAACTTTAAATTCACATCCTATCTCAATCCAAATTAACTTAATAATTGATGTTAAGACTCACAATCTGCCACCTTAAGACTTTCTGAATTGTAATAAATCCCAGGGAAATAAATGGGAATACTGGCAGAGAAAAACACTCTTTAGTGAAAAGTGATGGATTCTGGCCCAGGCTTAATTAATAAGCCATTAAGAAGGATGTTTATAGAAAAAAACAAGAGCATTCTGACTCAGCCTAGGTAGCCTGCTTTCATTCAGATTATAATGATAAAAACATGAAAGCTTGGAAATCGGACCGATGGGCTTTAAACTGCTAAAAAAGGCTCCTGCTGTACAAGTGATGCCTGACTGACACAGAACCTAATGTTTCAACTATTTACAGCTATAAAAGCAAGCCAGGCGCTTTTTTTCCCCCTTCTGGAGCAACTCCTTCCACAAACCATCCAAAGCATCCTTTTTGGCAGGCTCCTATGATGTAGAAAAGCAGGAGAACTCAAATGAACGGAAAGTCATGCAGTTATTTTTTTCATACTTGGGGAAGGGAAAAAAAGAAAACACCAAACCCAAACCGCTGAAGGGATATTCTTACAGAAGAGCTTCATTGCATAAACTCGGCCACATGTCTACTAGAGCAATGTCCCTTAACGACCTCTGGCAATGCAATTAACAACCGGGCAGGGAGCAAGGCACAGCTCTGCATGGGTAAGACCGGATGGATCCAACCCACTGTTGATCAGGACACCCATTTTTCACTTGGTGAACGAGAAAGAGACTGCATCCCCTCACCACCAGCCCAACTCAACTTCTGCAGCTCTGTTTACCTGCGGTTTGCGTTTACGTCCTACCCTTGAACCACAAGCATTGCCGGCTTCCAGTGCGGCGGAGCTATTCTTGCTGGAAATAGCATCTCAACGCACTCAACAAGGAAGCCGCGTGTACTTTTAAGGTGTTTTTCACCATTTTCACTAGCAGGTTGGTTTGGGGACTAATTTAGGCTAGGGAGCACTATCAGCCCTGGACCACCTCCCTGGAGAGAGAGGGGCTGTGTGTGAAACATCTCACTGGGAAAGATGGAACAACGTCATCTCTCAGGCAGAGATAAGTCAGGCGGCCTCAGCCGAGCCCCCCAACCAGGCACCTTACCACCTCTCCACTCTGGCAGGAGTCCCAGCACCGCACTGACACGAACAACTGTGTACCCGCAGTGGGGATGACCTCGGAGGGGAAGGGGCACACACAAGTGCATACGCAATTAGTTGGGTTTTCAACCCCTCTTCCATCCCCGGCGGCTGTGTGCGTGGGTGCCGGTCCCCGAGATGCAGTGCAACCCAACGGAAAGGCCGAGGGCGTGAGCGGGGAGGCAACCACCGAGCAAAGCTGGGCAATGTGGCTGGAGGGCTGCCAAGGTGGCCTCGTCGCAGCCCAGCCACCCCACGACACATCGTCCGAGGGACACCAAGTCGCCGTCGGTCGGGGCGATGCCTACCTCGCGGGTGAAGAGGATGGCAGCGTCATAGTGCTCGTCGTGGTCGTCGTCGAGGCGGTTGTGCTGGTGCTGCCACTTGCAGAAGTTCTTGAGGGTGGTGGCGGCGTTCCTGTTGACCTCCAGCCCCTTCTCCTTCTCCCCCAGGGCCACCACCTTCACCACGGCCAGCCGGACGTGGTTCTCCAAGCTGGCGTGGGCGTAGAGCCGGGAGGCGATGGAGGCCAGGGTGAGCAGGTAGTGCTGCAGCCCCTTCCCGTACTTGCGGACCATGGAGGCGTCGGCCACCAGCAG